AGTGTTCAAACTAGCGTTTCCTGTCTTCTTTTGTTGCTTTAGATAGGAAGCAGCGAGAGAGCCAAACACATGCTTCCTGTCAAGCCAAACCTAAGGCAGAAAGGAAGTTTTGGATGAAAGCACACTAGATTTCTGGGATCAAATCAGCCTTCAATCCAAAAGGCTTTCAGCCTGGTGACTCTTAGCTATACGGGATACTTGGTTACCACAATTACTATCAATAAACCAAGCAAATTGTTATTATTATCAGGGCCACTCAAAATGCTTGTGTGTAAGTGGGGACTGAACTAGAGCAGTGCCTCTGATGTACTGAGATCTTTTGGAAAATTCTGCTACGGAAAGTTAAAAGACAAGTTAGGGGATTTTGAATAGCATAGTTACTCCAGCAATGGTGTCACTGGCTACTCATTCCTTCCCAGTACTGGTGAGCTGGACTGAGAAACAGACAGCTTTAAAATCATAGAATCATAGCTTGGAAAAGAGATCTAAGGTCATCAAGTCCAACCGTCAACCCAACACCACCATACCTACTAAACCATGTCCTGAAGTGCCACGTCTACATGTTTTATTAAACACTGCCAGGGATGGCGAGTCCTCCACCTCCCTGGGCAGCCTGTTCCAATGCCTGACCACTCTTTCAGTAAAGAAGGTTTTTCTTAATATCCAATCTAAACCTTCCCTGACACAACTTGAGGCCGTTTCTTCTTGTCCTATCGCTAGTTACCTGGGAGAAGAGACCGGTACCCTTCTCACTACAGCCTCCTTTCAGGTAGTTGTAGAGAGCAATAAGGTTCCCCCCTCAGCCTCCTCTCCAGACTAAACAGCCCCAGTTCCCCCAGCCGCTCCTCATAGGACTTGTTCTCTAGGCCCCTCACCAGCCTCATTGCTCTTCTCTGGACATGCTCCAGCACCTCAATGCCCTTCTTGTAGTGAGGGGCCCAAAACTGAACGCAGTACTTGAGGTGCAGCCTCACCAGTGACAACTACAAGGGGATGATCACCTCCCTACTCCTGCTGGCCACACTACTCCTGATACAAGCCAGGATGCTGTTGGCCTTCTTGAGCACCTGGGCACACTGCTGGCTCATGTTCAGCCGGCTGCTGACCAGCACCCCCAGGTCCTTTTCCACTGGGCAGCTTTCCAGCCACTCCTCCCCAAGC